AATAATTCCGCGAAGAGATTGGGTAAGTAGTAAAAATTTAAGATCTGGTAGTGTTTATTCTGGTCGGGAAAATGTGGATGGAATGAACATCATCTGACAAAGCTGAACATCACTTTTGATCTGAATGATATATTTGAGTGCTACTCCACCTAGAGGCTAAAAAAAGAAATACCCTAAAAGCCACGAAAAATTCAGCATTAGGGAACTGTTCACTCAATTCATTATGATTGATTAATAATAACACATTTTTTAGTGACAGGCAATAAAATCTTCTGTCATTACTGAATGTTTGGCATGACTCATTTATGTTTCAATGGTACCGAAAGATATCGACTATGGTTCTGGAAATGAACGTTCTAGACTATAATGACACAGTCTCGTGTTTATCCCCGTATGTGACACCACTTTCTTGCAAGGGGATAAAACGATATTTTTAAAGCGTAAAAAATGTTTTTGACTGAAAAGCTTACTTTCTACCTTTCGCACATATTCTTCTGCGAAAAAAAAAACTGTTTTGGCGCCATCCAGAACGATGTCAAAAGCGTGCATGAGCACGGTACTTTGAAAATTCGTAACTACAGTCAGGAAAGGATTAAGAGGCTACAGTGAACAGGTTTTGTAGTATAGTGCCCAGACAATTGAAGGTAAAAGTTGCAGCCACACAGGAACAGTAAGCTCGAAATAATAAAGATGCGACTCTCGCAAATTTAGATGCGATCCTGAAAAGCAAAAACTGGGATTATTAAGCTTTAAATTTTGTAACTCAAGAGAAGTCGTCAAACAGCCTGAATTTTTCATTATAAGTAGAAGAATGGCCTCTTACAACACAATTGCGACCAGCCAGCTTTAACAGCTCCCGAGAAATAGACGCGACCCAGATACGACCCCCCTTACTTCAGTTTTTGTCGCCATACATAAAATTATGGAAAATCCCACAGATTACAAAATAAGACTAGATTCCGCACAATAGCAGAGCATCTATAAAGTACAGATAAATTGTATGGGCCCCTGAAAAACATTACAAAAAGATTTGAAAATTGTTGATGTTCATCGTCGGTAAAGCTAGTCGTTTTTGTCGAGTGTGTGAGACTTCAGGGACGCTTCCGAAGCAAGATTTCTAGGCCAGTCGGTACATTCAGAATTTCTAGCAAATTCTACATCCTTTAAAAGTGTTTTGAGCTCCTGGAAATGTTTTTTGAGGATTTTCAAAGAATTTTTTGATTATTCTTATTTCTACTTTTTTATAAATTCACTAGCTGGCAAACCCGGCTCCGCCCGGCCCTGTCATTATTATATTCGTAATCAGCATGCTCGATTACCCCCCTGTGCCAACTCCCAGCCCCGTAGCTCAAATTTTGCAAAAAATCGATAAAATCGATATCGATCGATAACGAAAAGTAGCCTATGACACGCTCCCCGCCCCGAAGTATATGTGTGCCAAGTTTGGTCCAAATCGATTCAGAAATAAAAATTTCTATTCCGCACATACGTACAGACAGACATACATACAGACAGACATTCAGCTTTATATATAAGATTGTAAAGAGCATGTACTAATTATCTGCGTGTTACTTTCCTAAGCTCACGGTTTTTAACCAAACTAATTCCTCTTACGACCCCCCCCCCCCCTGCCCACCTTAGGTGTCCACTTTACGACCCCGTGGCGACAGCATCATACGCTAGTCCCTGGCTCGGATCTTGGTCGAAAAATATCCGCTAATAATCAAAGATTTTATTGACTTTTGTCCGTATACTCGACCAAAAAAACTATGGTTCGATAACGATTTGTGGAAGGCAAGTGCATACAATGGAGAAAAGTTACTTACCATCGATGGGCATTCTAATAATTATTATATTAGGTCGGTGCAAAAGTTTTGTTAGTTTTTTCAATCCATCGCCAAACAGCTAAAATGAAGATAAACTAACACTTCAAAATGTAGCCGATGCAGAATTTCTTCCTCTTTCTAGCTGCTGAACTTTCACTGTGTTTCGTTGCGAGAGTGACGAGATATTGCTGGAAATTACAACCACTCGTTTTTGCCTTGTCCAGCTTTCACCAATTTTCAAAATTTTTGTATGAGACGTTCGGATGAGCCCTAACAACCACAGATAGGGCAGACCTTTTGCCAACTTATGCAATTTTTTCTTTTTTTTAGCTGCTCTTTCAGATTTTTGCTAGATAATTTTCTAAAAGTCTTGTTCGGAAAAATTGCGTAACCTGTTATTGCACCAAACGCTGCGAAATCTACAGAATACTGAGGTTTCAGCACTCAATTATTACTACCGCTACCATTTCAAAGTAATTGAGCGGTTTTTGCTTCGAATTATGAAGATTTTGAAACATACGTTAGTCAGTGCGCACTCCTGAAATTGAGAAATAATGCGGTTTTCCCCACAAATTTCGCCAAAGCAAAAAAAGACAAGTGTTAGAAGGAGGAGAAAAAGTTGCATCGAATGGTGGCTGAAGTGTTTAACATTTTATGTTCTACGAGGTTAAAATAAGCTGAATGTAAAATTTGGTCACTTCAAAAAATAAATCTTAAAAATTCTGAAAGACAAGCTGTAGAGCTACAAAAAATTGCTTCTGTTGGCAAAAGGTTTGCCCTATCTGCCCGTTCTTAGGGCTCCTCCATAAGTCTTATACAAAAATTTTGAAAATTGGTGAAAGCTGGACATGGCAAAAACGAGTGGTTGTAATTTCCAGCAAATATCTCGTCACTCTCGCAACGAAAAACAGTGGGAGTTCAGCAGCTAGAAAGAGGAAGAAATTCTGCATCGGATACACATTGAAGTGTTTTTTTATCTTCATTCTAGCTTGTTTGCCGATGGATTGAAGAAACTGACAAAACTTTTGCACCGACCTAATATTAGGTTTTCATAATTGATGCACGTTTCCTAGTCTCTTTTCGAAAAAGCTGACCTTCAAAAACAGACCATTTTTCTTGAAAAATTTTGTGGTGCCAAATCTTCTATTACAATTTCTGATCTATGCTCTTGTTTCCGCAAACTTTTTTTTGAATCGGACTGCCATGCCTTCAGAGTAAGCGAATAAGAGAGAAAGTCCTTCCTTTCACTCTTCTTGCACTAAATCCATTAGAATTGATCGAAACTCTTTCAAAAAATATATAAAATGATTGCGAAGTTTTGTGCTACAAAATGCTAGGCAACACTGTATTTAGAGAAATTCTGAACTGAGAAGTTTTAACTTAAACTTGGCTAATTGCTGAGCCATATTTATTCTGCATAACATTCTTGGGCGGCTAATTGCTGAGCCCCATTTATTCTGCATAACATTCTTGGGCGAATAGTTATTTATTTATTTGTTTATTTATTATGCATAGGGAAGTCCCTATGAGAAAGAAAAACAACAAAAACGACAATTGTTAACAAACAACAAAATAATCACCGATCATGAAAAGATTGCAAATAGCGTTGTAGAATAGATTTAAAGGTAGAAAGTTTAACTACAAATGCCCGATCTCTGATAAGCTTATCCACATCGTGCAAAACCCGACATGAAAAGAAATTTCTTCGCACAGCTAGCTTACATCTAGGAATGATAAGTTTATGGTAAGAGTTTCGTTCCATACAGCTAGAGTGGACCTGGTACAACTGAACGATAGGAAAACTGCAAGATTTTCTTGCTTTGTAGAGGAAGAAATTTAGAAAAATCTGAATAGGCAGTTTAGTACTTTCTCTGAATGTTGAGAAAATCGGGTACTTCCAAATTTCTTGCATTTTTTCGCAGAAAAATCCCATGGATCCCTTCTCATTCGCTCAACCAACATGTACTGAGCAAAGGAACTATCCGAGTAAATTTGAAAGTAAGTTAAGCTCTCTCAAAATATGGGCATCTAAATAAATGTTCTGGAGATTCTCAGGTTAAAAAGTGAAGAAGCTAAAAACGTGCAGTATACAGGGTGTCCCAAAAGTAAGTACACACTTTTCAGTCGTTGATATCTCTCTTCCCATTGTGTCTTATTCCTCCATTTGAGTACCATTTTGTAGAGGAGGCTTCAACTTAGATTTATGATATCGAGCGAATCACCGATCTCTCTTCATTACTATAGGATTACCGTAAAAATTTTGATAAGGATTTAAGGCTACTGGAAGCCATATTCTGCCTCGGAGCGAAACCAAACAAGCCAAAAACTCTTATGCTATGGTAATGGAAGCCGCTGACTTCGAATATGAAATTTCCACTTTACTATGATGCTTCTTTTCAAAGTTATCCCAGGTAAATCGTAATAACCGCATTTCCAGTATTTGTCAGAAATGTGATTACACCGTCAAAAAATCTGAAAACACTCATAAGAAGTTGTGTAGTGGGATTAGAGTACGCGAAAACCCTAGTAAATGATTTTTCAGACTTTTTGAAAAAATTTGTCCGATAGCATATTTCACAATGGTTCCACTTGCTGGAAGTTCTCACCGTAATCCTACAGTAACAGAGAGCGATCAGTGATTCGCTCGATACCACAACTTTAAGTTGAAATCTCCTCTACAGAATGGTTCCTGATTGGCGAAAAAAGACCCATTGGGAAGAGAGACATTGACGATTGAAAAGTGTGTACTTACTTTTGTGACACCCTGTATATGAGGCAACCTAATATGCGTTATGAAACAGGAATTAGAGAGCTGACGATGAATGTCTAGCGGTTATATTGTGGCTAAAATGAATATCTCGGTTTGCGTCGCCGTTGCCATTTGGTAAATTTCCTGTTTCAGCGAATCGATATATTGAATTTGATGGGAGCATCACCGATTTTTCCTTCTCGTCTTTCAAAAAAGTTAACACGGCGGAAATTTCTTCCGCCGTGTTAACTAGCGAGCGGACCACCCAGAGGCTTCGAGTACCGTATATAAAGTACGGTCTGGGCTAGACTTAATTTTCGGCCGTAACTGGTCCAGCCGCGGCTCAAGTTATACCTCAAATATGAGATTCAAAACCAGTGTCCATTTAAGAAGAAAATCAAGTATGTAAGAAAAATTTTTAGCTCATGAAATGCTCTGGAATCGAAAAACGTGCCACAGTTTCGTGTGCAGATGCCCATGTGTGCCCGCCAGCGCCACATGTACGGACACAACTGCGGATTGTCGTGACAGAGGTCCTACGCACATTCCAGCCAATCTACCCAGCTCCACTAAAGAATTGTTAGTAAAACAATGAAATTTTGTAAAAATGCTAGATTAAGCTAGCCCCCTCCAAACTTTCTCGTTTTTTTCAGTTTAGCAAAAAAAATTTTCAAACGCAAACAAGGTTTGCAGCTTTTTTCAAAACAATCGAGAATCATTACAGTAAAATATTTACAGTGAGTCCTTATAATTGAACCTTTCAGGCGTCTCGAAAAAAACCAGATTACCTACCCCACCCAAAGCCATCCAAAACTTACGAAACCTAAAAAGATTGTAAGTTTCGGATTTCACAGTGCTCGCCATAGTCCTTGATATCTTAAGATTTGTTGTTCAGAGATCTCAGCAAAAACAGCATTATCGAAGTGACTCCTCGAGCTTTTCAAGGACTACATACCTCTAGCTTTGTTGGTTTTTCTCATGATCTCCTTTCAGAGTGTTTTTCACTGTAATTCAATGCTCAGCATTCAGAGTGCTCTACGGAAATAATCTCACCGACCTACCAGCGGAAGCTTTTGATGGTCTAAAAAGTCTACAGCTTCTTCTTCTAAATGCATATCAACTACAGTGCATCCGTAGAGGGACTTTCGACCCCCTGACGGAGCTGAATCTGCTCTCGTTATATGACAATCAGATCAAGTCCATTAGTAATGAGACCTTTCATAAGTTGACAAAATTGCAAACATTGCATTTGGCAAAGAATCCGCTAATCTGCGATTGTAACTTGGTAAGTTTTTAGTGCCTTATTAATGCGCGCTTAGGTACGGTTATAATTCTAGGAATAGTTGGCTGTGCTTCAAGAAGAAAATATCGAGACAAGTGGGGCAAGATGTAAAGCGCCAAAAAGGGTTTCTCGTTGCTTTGCCTCCTACTAATTTCGATGTAAAGGTAAAATGGCAAGCCTACTTTCTTCCATAACTTCTTAAGTCAAAAATTTTCAGGAATTGAGGCCTATCAAACTCAACGAGCCGACGAATGTTTCATTGATGTTGACTGTCATGACTGTTGACCGGCACAATGTACATGCCATGGCGCAGTTGTTGATTGCAGGTACATTTCTGTAAATAAAATATTTTTACCCAAAATTGCGTCTACTACGGAAAGATCAGTCTATAAAAGTTTCAATGTCTCGTCGCTTACTCCGGAGGGATTATTTCCCACGTAAGAAAATCACATATCGAGGCAAAACCTATCGCTATCGTAGCATGTCGGAATACGATAGGTATACTGTAAATGAGCTGCAATTGTAAATGCAATTTTTGCACATCGCCACACTCGGTAAACTATATGCAAAGATTTCGGTCAAGCTCGAGCAAACCTACTTAGTGATGGATTCGGAAAATTTCGTGGAAAGAAGGAGCTAAGAGTTTTATTCTGAAGATTTTTTCCTTAACTCTCTGGTTTCTGAAAACTTTTTTTGGATACTAACCAATTTGTTAACGAGCATGTGACCGTGGGAATTGAAACATTGATTTTCTACTTAATGGTAGCTTTGTGAAATATTTTCAGCATTATTTCACAAAACTTTTCGAAAAAATGACCTTGATTATTTACACTCAAAAACAAGTTACTGGCTCAGTCTTCTATCATAATAAAAAAATTTTTCTACTCATTCTTGGTAGTCTTACCGTATACCTACCGTACCCCGATAGCTGAAGCCGCAATATAACGAAATATGTGGCTCAGAAACGAGCTCAAAAACAGTTTTCCTCCCATGAAATCTGATCCATCTTGGAACGGTTATAGTGCCATGTCAACTTTAGTTTAGTTCACCAAATCCGCTGCCGTTTTTGTGACACAAACATCATCGCGTTCGTTCGTAATGGTCAGGCGTTACATAGGTTGTGTACGTCATAATGCGAGAACACATTCTCAAAAATTCACAACAGCAGCGTAGTAATGGATGGTCTTAAGTCAGTAATCGTTCACCTTGGTAATGGCCCTCGGTCGAGAGAGCCGAGCGCGCGCAGCCGGCTGCTTTCAACGCTCGTGCGGGCCAGTTCAAAGCACCTGATTGATGAAGTTTGCGCAAGCGAACGATGACAGTCGCTTCTACGCTCACGGCCAAGAAAAATCGCAGCAAAACGATGGAAATTTGAGAAGCCGCCAGCGTATCGTAATTAAAGAAAAGGCTCTAATTTTGACACAGTTCTTGCGCGTCAACTATCGACACTGTTGGTTTAGCGACTGGATATTAACAAAAAGCGAAAAATGTTGATTACAAGAATATCCATAATAGCTATGTATGATACACAATAACGCGCATTACCAGTCAAAAAAGTCGTCGCACTCTGCCGGAATCCACCTTAATCCGCGTCTCATCGCTTATCTTGGTTTAGATCTGACGAATTCTGAATTCAAGAGCACCGCTGGATTTAGCTCGGCGAGATGCATTCTCAGATATACAGAAGTGCTCGTCTGGATAAGGTAAACAATTTATAGATCGCCCAGGGTAGGTCACACGGTGGGCAGTGAGAAAAAGATTGAGTATCGGTTTTGTAATCTTGAAAGATGGATGGAACTTGGCCTATTATCGTGCACCTCAAACGGGCACTTCTATGATACGAAAGATACGCCTTGCCGAGTTGAGATGAACGGTACCTTTGAATTTAGAGTTCATCCACTCTGAACGAAGATATGGCGATACGACGCGAATTCAGGTGATCTCGGGCGGAATCCAGCGTCTTTGTACTATGACGATTATGAGCGGTGCTGTGCAGGTTGTCTCAAATATGCAACGAATGTATGTTTACCAAAAATCTTAATCATCAGCTTGCTGGAGCATATCATGAGAGTGGAGATATGATCTACAATATAAACGAATCGTGCCGCTTTTTGTTACTGTAGGATTACGGTGGGAATTTACAACTGTCGTCATCGCTAATCATCTCATCCTAAAAATTTCTGGAACTTTCAAACTATTTTTGCTGTGTGATTTTGAACGCACTCGAAAAAAAAATTATTGGCAAAAGCGCTGTCATGGTATATACCTGTCACATCTTTCAAAGTAGATATTACTATGAAGCGGAAAGCTCATATATGGAATCAACAATGCTGATTACCCTCGTAAAAAGGTTTCAACTCTTTCAAATCCTTTTTTGGGTAAGTTTTTGCTTTCATTGGCTTAGAAACCCCTGAATATCTCCGCAGTAAACCTACCGTAATGCGATGTCTAACCTGTTTTGTACTGTGAATCTAAGTCGAAGCCAGCGCTACACTTGCCAGTACAGGTCCCTAATGCTGATAAATTAGAAGAGTTATTAGCCTTCAAACACCCGTCATTTTTGTAACTTTCGTAAAACTCCAGATATCATGCATCTCCTATATATTGTTTATATATCATATTCACAATCAAACCTTACCGTATTCGGACATAGAAATGAGGAGGAGAAGATTAACTAGAAAAATGTCAATAAAAATATGTAGGCAAACTTTTAATTTCGGAGTCAATTGGTGATAACATAGGATGTGAAAGTCTCAGCTTGAACGGAAAGTTTGTTTGCACCATTTCCGAAAAATCGTAACTTCTTTCTTCTTCAATAATATAAATACTCTTGAGAAGAGCAAACTTTGAAATCTTCAAAGTTGCCTCGTATGCTCCCTACTAAGTTCCGATCGCAGAGATCGTAAAAACGAAAGAATGAAATCATCCAAGTATTGGTGATTTTAGCAAGCTCATTGAAAATTTGGGAACCATGCAAGAGAACCAAAAATAGTTGGTATTGTAAGATTTAGGCTCCCTATTCCTACAAAAAAAATTTTGCTTCGAGATTTCTATGGAAACTTGTGATTTTCGACGAAAACGTCAAAAACCAATTTTTCCGGGTTTTACTGTTTTTGACATTTTTCTAAAATCATAATCTTCTTAGAAAAGCTCTATCAGCAGAAGTTTTCCATAGCTAGAAATGAGAAAGTCCCAAAACTTATCATATCAACTTAAAACTTATCATATTTCGGATTCTCTTGCGTTTAGGTTTTCAGTGAGCTTGCCTAAAGACCAAGAATGATATCCACGAAAGTCCCCGCGAAATGGGCTTTTCGTGCGAATAAAATGGACTTAGTCCATGCGGTGCGATAAGATATCGCATTCGCGAACACATTCATTCCATACAAAAATGCTTCAACTAAACTTTCTCTAACTTGTCTCAACCTGTTTGCTCACTCTTGCAAACTCATTTCCACCAAGTGGTCGATAGCTAACTAGGCTGACCTAACATTACAATGTCACTCAAGTGGCTATTCTATTCTTTCCCACTTCGTTACGCCTCACAGAATGCCATCCATTATCGACGACTATGCATCTAAATCACTTCCAAGACTAAAATTCATGTAATATCCGGGCCTTCGCTTCAGCTTCTACGAATCAGCATTAAATCGCATTCGTATGTGGAGATTTCTGCAAAAAGCAAACTTTGGCTAGAGTTGCTCTGCAATCTGTGACCTTGTACTACAATACAACTCAAAGGGTTTTTCAAATCACAAAAACTTGAATCCCAAAAGATTACTTCGCAAGTGCTCTTAGCTTCTCTTTGTCTTTTAGCACTAATATTAAAAACTTTAAGCACTTGAATGTATGGACAATCTGGTAAGAAATTTTTCACAGAATTTTTCTAACTAGCTAGCGGCACTTCAGTAATTCTTGCGGACCAAACTCAAAATTGTGTTTAAAATGCCGTTTCTGAGGTTCGGTTCTACGAAATTAGCCAAAGATAGCTTCTAAGTAACTACATTGAGGTACAATTTTTTTTTCAAATTTTAGATTACAAATCATGAGTCTGGTTTTGGTTGATGATTTGAAGAGTCAACAAACTTTATTCGATTTACATAGGAATATTCGCATCGACCTGATATTTGGAAGCATTTGAGTTTGTTAGCGAATGTTTTGGTGAATTTAACCTTATTCCATGTTTTTATAGCGTTTGCATGAGTTTAGCAAGAAACACTTATTTCGGACTTCATAAAAGACATGAAACTTTTTCCTCTCACCTATTACCTTAGGATAGGTTGAGGAACACATTCCCAAAAAATCGCAATCAAAAATATGCAAAAAGGTCAAAAATGGGCTTAGTCCCAGCTCACCTTGCTGCTGGGAGTAGAATGGGCATTCAATTCCATTTAAAATGAAGGTAAATCCATTCTAAATGGACTTTTGACGTCATCATTTCGCAAGCGAGAGCTCAGGTAGGGTTAAATCATTTTCATTTCACCGCTTTGCCTCGTGGTTGCGATGGGATGAAAATTTTTGGATAACGCGAGCGAAAGCAGATTCCGACCACTCTTCACCGCGAACGAATGAAATGGGGCTTGAAAGTCCATTTTCCTCCATTATGGACTTTCGTGGATATCATTCCAAATCTTGGGTGATCTCATACTATCATTTTTTATCTCTGCTGTCACAATTCTACAAAACTACGAGGTATCTTTCGAAAGTACAAGGTTTACTCTTTTCAACAGTATCTACATGGCAGTACTATTAAATAAATGTTGCCTTTTTTTACAGATGGTGCGAACAAACTTAACAGCCTAATAATTATGCATGCAAGCACTACTATTTTCGACTATTCGAGCTGACGGATTCTCCAATTTTTTTTAACGTCGCGCGTTTCGAAGGATCACAATTCTTCTAACCTCACCAAATGCATAGAAAATTTCAAAATCAAATGTTCCGAAACTATCACTCCCTGATTCAAGATAGCAATCGCCTTAAAATATAAGCATATTGAAGTCACCGCTGCGATCGCATTAAGAAATACATGTTAGTTCGTTCTTCGAGAATTCTGGTCTTACCCAGGCTTCGTTTTCCTATCAAAATGCGAAAACATCAGAAAACTTGTCGAATGCCGATTTCCTCGAACATGGGGTCAATTGGAGGACAATGCTCGTAGCGAAAATAAATTCAGTGTTAGCAAAATTTGTTAGTCATATTCTGGAGTCCTAATCAAAACTCATTACAGTTTGATTACCAAGTATTCCTGGTTATTTGATGACCGATGAGGATATTTACGAACTAATTTGTAATCTCCTTTGCAAATTTTATATTTCAAATCTTTCATTGCTGTTCCTGTTTGCTTTTGCAAATGTTCATTTATTAGCCCTACTGTATCAATCAAACTTCAACTCGCAGAAAAGCTTTCTTGTTGCTGCTGCTGCCTTTATCATGACTTTACGCAATTTATTATTTATTTATTTATTTATTCATTTGATGCACTCTAGGTGCGCTTAAACATAGAATCGAATTCGAGATCTCCAAAGAAATAACTTTTGGAGCTTCACACAGCAGAACAAGAGAATATAAAAATACCACCGTATAGTACAAGAGTTACTCTATTTCATTCATACCTACCCCTAAACTCTGGAATAAAATGAAAAGTAGGATGAATTTTTGTGTTCAGAATTTCTTTATTGAATATTAGAACTTTTGCTGCATTAGTGTGAATTTTTGTATATTTAGAACTGCTGTGCAGCTGTAAAATCAAAACGAAGGCGGCTAAGAATAACCAGTGGGCAAATGTGAGTCTACTTTACACTTCTAAATACAATAAGTTACGATTTTTTCCAGAAAACACACCGTAGTCACGATTGTTCGCAAATGCCAATGTTCAAATGCATGTCAAGCCAGAACCTATCGTTCTTTGCTGACTAGGCGATGAATTCACACACGATAATAATTGGTAATCTATTGTGTCATAGCTTTCGAATGTTAAGGTTTCTGGCAGCTGACCCGTAAGTACACTCATTCTGTACTACCATTAGCTCGGTTCCATTGAAAACCGCCTTAAGTGTTTTCGTTTCGTTACATTTCATACAGAGTGTTGGTACATATTATTCTTTTTTGCCATATTCAATGTGCAGCTATGAAAACGCAAGTTATGAATTGTTTCTGGAGGAAACGCAATCGTAATGAAAGTTATTTTTTCGGAGCAGACTTCAGCTCTATTTATATTTCGTCTATCTACATCTCTGATGAAAAATGCTACCTTAAAACACGAGTCTAAAATTTTTTGAAAACTCATAAATGTAATGAAGCCCATGTTAGAAATTATAAAGACGAAATCGTTTTTGTATGCTTAAAGTGAGGACCACTGATGTATAGCGGCTATAAAAATAATAAAGAAGAAAAGCCAAAACCTGTTTTTATCGCAGTAGCTAAAAATGCAGAAAAATTCCTACAACTTTTAGTCTTGCTTTTGATTTGGATGATCAAATTTTTGAGATGGAAGGTCGTACTGATTGTATGTCCCTACAAGCAGTTGGAATTTTCAAGTCTCTCTTGAACTTGGGCTTTGCTCAAAATAAAATGTCTAGCTTACATAATAAGATAGTACATTCAGTGATTGCAACGAACTCTACTGAGCATTTCAATAAAATTTCAAAGACTTCTGGTGCAAGACTATATTCCAGCCCAATAAATCGGTCAGGGACTGTTCATGAGGACAAGAAAAATAAACTCGAAATTCTTGTGTGTTCATGTGTAAAGTGTAAACCTTCACGACATTCGGATGAGTCAACATATATCGAAGAAAAACTCCATAAACTTCTATTAGTCTTGTCTTCTTGATAATTTAGTCAACATCAAGTCACGGAAGGCATGACTTTCTCTCTCTTATTTCACTTGTTGCAGATCGATGCCCTGGCAAATATATTTTATATCTATGATAAGAGACTTTAAACTGCAACTGAGACCCCCTTGACTAGCTGACCTGTAAACATTTCCTGCACTAACGGTTGTCGTCTTATGTAAGTTATGCTCATTCGGTGATAAGTAGAGTTGTTAATGTTATTGCAAAAAACGTGAAATATTCAAAGCTTAGCTTATGAGACTTCTTCTGGTATTTTTAACGTATCCCAACCTCATTTCCAAGCAAAGAGAATCTATTCAACTTTCTAATGCAATTAAAAGCATTGAAGAAGTTTTTACTCTGACTTTCTGCCTCTGAAAGGACAAAATGAACATTACCGAATCGTTTGCCTTGTTCGCCACGAATCTTATGTCTGCGTTGAAACGGGGAATTTTTACACAAAGCAATGAGTAGACAAAATTGAAAAATCATCATGATTGTGATTTTTACATGCATGCTGAACCATTCACCAAATCCCAATCCTACACACCCACTTCAGCCAAGACAGATTACGACGAATGTTGAACAAAGGACCATTATTGACTGCTTGATTTACGATTTCCTACGTTGCTTTTAGCGGGTTTTTTGATAGTATGAATAAAAAAAATATTCGCCCCTTTTTCATGTAATATTTTTGTACTAGACTATTTTCGGTGCCCATACAAGCCAAGTAAGCTTTGTTATAGGAATTCTTCTGGAAGAAGGGATTTTTTTACGTAACAGAAAACATTAGGAAAGCCTCGGAATTTGGGATAGCTCCTGTGGACAAAGTTGCAAAGAGAACTCGGCTTTAGAAACTAGACCAGTGTTTTTATTTCTAGTTGATCTCAGAAATATTTTTGTAGACTTAAGTTGCTTGTTCATTTTCGAACTCAAAAAAACCAATTCCAGAGTTTTGCAAAAAAGTCAATTCAGGCAGATGGAGATTCTCCCTCCCCCAACCCCCCCCCCCCCCCCGCCCTCCCCGTGCGGGACTGGACTAATTGTAAGAGAGTACCTCAACAGTAATAACTTCAAAATGTAGCGTTTTAGGCAGTAGAAGAAATTAGCATTACAATTGAACAATCACTTCTTTCTTCCGACAAAGCAACGATCAACACAAACATAAAGTTTTATAGATTTTATTTGAAAAAGGAAATAGCTTATCTCATAGCATAAGGAAATATAATCGAATTAGAAGAATAAATAGTAAAGATGCAGGTAAGGAGAACATGTTCGCGTAGTTGCATAAATTTCCGCCACATGTGCACACCTCGAGATCTCCTAGAAATAACAAATTATAGCCTGAAAATCAAACAATTAATCTGATGTTATTGACAAGAATGATATACAGGACTTTTCTTCCATATATCACTTTGCTGGTGGCGGCCCCAGCAATTCTGTGGGGCGTGGCGTTAAAGCACTTCGAAAAATTTTCTGAGATGGTTCCCAAAACTTTTGCGGTTCCAAGACCCCGAAATTTTAGAAAAAAGGACCCAGGTCTATTTTTTTCACATTCGCTCTCTGCTTCAAAGTTTTTTGGTAATTTTTCTTCTCGTCTGAGTGGTCTTGCAGGAGAAGAGCTTGTTTTTGAAAGTTGAACCTCAGAGACAGCTATATTTGCCCGAATAAAGACTCTACGAACTTACAATTTTCACTAAAAGTTCTTGGCAATCTATGCTCAGCAGTAGTTTTTAGAAAAATAGCAAACAGTTATAAAAAAAAGTCAATTCGGCTTTACTCAAGATAAAATTTGTGGACAATATGGTATAAAAAAGTACATTCAATGTTTACAGCGAGCTTTACGTAAGCATTTCCAATGAATTTGCAGAGATTTCTGATGCAAGACTATATTCCAGCACAATAAATCGGTTAGGGACTATTTATCAGGACAAGAAAAATAAACTCAAAATTCTTGTATGGTAATGTGTAAGATGCTAGCAGCTTCACGGCATTCGGATGAGTCAACATATGTCAAAGAAAAACTCCAAAAAGTTCTATTAGTCTTGTCTCCCTAATAATTTAGTTAACATCAAGTTACGCAAGACATGGCTTCCTCTGTTATTTTATTTGTTGCATATCGATGTCCTGATTATAACTTTTATATCTATAATAAGAGAATTTGAACTGCAACTGAGAGCATTGAAAAGAAAGGTTATGAAAGAACGACTTTGCTTGTGTAGCGTTTCAACTCTTACGCAGTCCCCCTTGATTAGAAGATCTGCAAACCTTATCTGCACTAACATTATTGTCGTCTTATGTAAGTTATGCTCGAAATCAGGCGTTGATGTTATTGAAAAAAAGTGTGAAATATTTGAAGCTTAACATATGAGATCTTTTTCGGATATTTTTAACGTCTTTTCCAGCCTCATTCCCAAGTTAGCAGAATCTGCTCAACTTTCTAGTTTGACGCGAACTCGTGATCGTTCGCCTTGCTCGCCATGCGTCTTATGTTCGCGTTGAAACAGGGCGTTTCATTACAAAGCAATGAGTAGACAAAATTGAAAAATCATCATAGTCGCTGATTTTTGAATGCATGCTTAACCATTCACCAAATCCCAATCCTACGCACCCACTTCAGCCAAGATAGGTGATTACGACAAAGTTTGAACAAAGGACCATCTATTGGCTGCGTGACTATACGAATTCTTACGTTGCTTTTAGCTTTTTTTTGAATTTATTAGGTCATTTCAAAAGTTCGTTCGCATTATTCTCTAAAAAATCGTAACTCTCTGCTATCTGCCTAGATTTGCCTGGGATAATTTTTCCTAAAATAAAAAAATCGTGTAGTTTCTAAATATAACTTAAATTCATTCTACCAAGCACAAGTCGCAAAGTTAAAAATGCAAAAAGAAGACCACTGAAATTTTGGTAATTTTAAAAAAGCTCACCAAAAATCTTAGAACGTTACAAAAAATACCGAAACAAACACAGACATATGTTTTATGTTCTCGTCTTTCTAGCTAGGCAAACTCCTTGTTGAACGACTGTTCTTATGAAAAGTAATGATTTTTTAGGAATTTGCTATACATTTCCATGAAAATCAAAATTGTTCTTCCTTAGCACAAAAATCCCTTAGCTAGAAAGAGAAGGTCAGAAAACCCCTGTTCTTGGCTTTCCCGCCTTTTTCGTGACGTTTTTGGGTTTTTTTGGGCATGCTCAAAAATTGCAGAACTTAAGTAATTTTCTTTATTTGCTTGTAATTTTCGATCTTTTTCGTTTTAATTCGTGGAAAAGGCACTACAATAAAGGGAGGCGTATCGTTACGTGCGGGCTTCAAATTGGAAAACGTCGCGCGCGACAGGCTGCCAGTGACCAGACTCGGGAAATTCAGCCAGCATGATCCGCAGCACGTAGTTTTTCAGTTTCTCATCTTTTGTTGAGGTTCACAGATTATTCTCATATTAGTTTTGCTTAGTTATTTGAAGTTTTGCCGTAAAAGTGTAAAATGAGCTCTTTGAATGATAAAAAAGACACAAATTGAAGAAGTAAAATACTAACAATATAGGAGAAGCATTGGTAATCTAGTGGTATAAATCTGACAAGTTTTCTGCACTGCTGCTTCCCGCGCGGTTACTTTAACGCCGCGTTGCGACGTTTTCCATTGGCAGACCGCACGTAACGAGCGTCCCCCACAATAAAGAGCATAAAATTCTCTATCAAATAATAACACTTTCGGAATTTTTCGTGATCCAGCTCAAAAAATGCCAATCTTGAGTAAGTTTATTCAATTGCTTCTAACTCTCGAACTTTCTCACGCTATTTCATGGCAAAGACACTGTTGTAAAGAGAAAGGTTTCTTCTTTCAAATAAAAATTAAAACGAAAAGTTCCACCTAGAAGGGAGGAAGTTATGATATTTTAAAAAACTGACGAACGAACTTTTGAAATGACCTTATAGTATGAATAAAAAAATATATTCGCTGCTTTTATGTAATAATTTTGTACTAGACTATTATCGGTGCACACACAAGCCAGGTAAGCTTTGTTACAGGAATTCTTTTGGAGATGCGACCACGGAAATTTTTTACCTACTAAAAAACAAT